TCTATCACTTATTTCTCCACAAGTTTTCAAAGAAATCTGGCAGGTGTGTTACTGTAACACATCATCCCACATTTCCCCGCGCCTGCCCCCTCACACACCTTCTTCCGTCTGGGCATCGCTGACCCTCAGGTCGCAGTGGGCCGCCTTCAGCTTCTCGCGGGCCATGATCTGGCACTTGAGGTCACTGAGGGAGTTGTCTTGGCCCTGAAAGATCACCATGTCATGGCGCAGCCTGGAGGAGAACTTGTAGTGGACGCAGGACATTGCCAGAGCCGGGCAGTGCCTGCTCCGCGATGGCGTCTCCTGTGGTGCAGGGAAGGGCCCAACCAGGGGCCCGGGGCAAGCGGTGTGGGCTGAGCCCAGTGCTGCCTCTGCTCCCTGTCTCGCACGCAGCGTTGCCAGGCCTGACCGGTCACTATGGCCACTGGGACACGGCACACCGCCCCCGCCCCCCCACGCCTCACACCCATTGTGACAAAAGGCCTGTTGCCGCCCCAGGCCGCTGCTGTCCCTGCTGTCCCCCGGCCTGTCCTCGCCCGCTCTCTTGGCGGCCCCCAAGTCTCTGGTGTCCTTCCTTTCATCCAGGGGCCTTCACCACCCAGCGTCACCTCCCGGCAGCCCCTGAGCCAGGGCTGGCTCTCCCGACAGCCCTGGGCCCATCCTGCCACCCCCCATGCCTCTCACTGCCTGCCGACCCTCCTGGCACCCCCGGGCTGTCACCCCCGGGCTGTCCCCCCGCTGTCCCCTCCTCTCCCCAGCCAGCCAAGGCCACACAGCCTGGGGCAGATGCAGTGGGCTTTGCCCTGGGGCTCCCGGCTGCCCATGCCGCAGGGCCAGCCAAGGCAGGGCACATCTCGGGGACTCTGGGTGGACCTTGGGGCAGGGACGAAGAGTTCAGCCAAACAGGCCAACGACCACCTATGCTTATTGTTGTAAACCAATGCGCTTCCCAACCGTGGTGCACCCACACTTGCTTCAACTCTGCAGAGGAGAACGAAGGAGTCAGGAATGAACCGTGAGGTTTAGGAGGTGCCCCAGGACGACATTTCTTGCCCTCTCCATCACCACAGCTGCTGCTGCAACAGCCCTAGCGCATGAAATCCTGCCCTGAATGATGAGGTCTGGCTCTGCTGACTGATATGCTACAGCCTGCAGACACTTCTGGGCCAAGTGGCTACTCCTTTCTCTTCGTGTAAATACAATATAAAAAAGCTTGTTGTGGTGTGGATTGGCTAACGAGGGACTTTCCATGACTGCTTGGTTTAGCTCTTTAAATACTTTTTGGGTTTCCAGAGTAAGGAATCCCTCTTGATTTCAATGCTGTCCTCTGTATCTGAGGGCGAGTTATTTTTGCTACTGGTGTCT